TCTGGAGCTCCTTCCTGACAGCCCTGGGAGAATTTCGTGTCACATCACAGAGGGGTTATTAACATTCCAGGTTGATCATTCGTCGTTGTAAAGAGAAGGTGCGAAGATTAAAAGAGGAAGGGTGGTTCCCTATTCTACACCCCGAGTCTAAGCCTCATCTCTCGCTGGTTCATTCGTAGGTGCATGTCCTCCCTCTACAGCGAGAAGGACTGGGCAGAGAACGTAGAGACGCTGGAGGAAAAACTATGTAATGATCTTTGCTGGACTCCAATTGATCTAAAAAAAGAGTTGGATTCGGCGGCAAAGGCAGCTGAAGATAAACTCTTCTCTCTGACCGATGTCTGGGAAGCGTTCGTTGTCAAAAGTATATTGAAACTGGTGGGTTCTATGTAAATTTAGAGTGACACCACTGAAAAGTCAGGTATTCACTTAATATAGTCCATTGTGTTCTCTCTCTGTCTCTCGGCAGTACTTGGGATTCAGGAATAAAAGAGTAAATAATAACTCCTGCTCGTATTTGAAAGCTTTCTGACCCCTCATGGTAACTTTGTAGGTCTCAGGCTCTTCCCAGGAGCTCTCAAACATCACTGTGGTGTTTCAACATTTCCAAAGTGTGAGCAGTTTAAGGAATTTGGAGACCCATTAAAACGAGTGGGAATTTGGCCACTCAATCCCTTTGGTTGTTTGGAGATCTCAGCCTCGCATCTGATCCCCAAATCCTCAGCTTTCGACAATGTAAATCGATGTGCAAAAGAGCAAAAGAAATAGAAATTTCTGTCCCAGTCTCTTCAATCGAGCAGAGAAAAGCCTCAGCACAAGTTAGAGAACTTAGAGAAGTTCAGACTTTAAATGATCTGGTTTTGACAGTGAGAGGAATTAACTGTCGGAACCTCTTGCCAAGTTTCAGGGTAGATTCTAAAGCAATGACCATTTTGAAATCATTATTGGATGTGGTTTTTTCTAAAATATTATTTAGCCCAAAACCATTTTGATAAAGTTCAAGTCAATTTTGGAGGTGGGACTTTACCCCTTCAGCTAAATTTTCAAACCAAAACCCATCTCAAAGGAAAAAGTCGAAACGTGTCATTTCCAACAGGCCAAAACAAAGCATTTACATTTTTATTTGAATAAATAAATATGGTGCTTTTTCTTGGCATTTTTCTTGGAATTTTTTTCCTCAGCTGAAAGAATTCACCACATCTGACCTGAATTCATAAGTCATTTCAGAACAACAAAAAATAATTTTTTGATTGAATGTAATAGTCCCCGGAAAATGCTTTGCCTGGATTCACTGCTCCCAAATTCCTATGGATTTAAATAGAACTCAAGTATTGGAGCGGGAAGTGTTATTCCGAGCTGGAGGTCTCTCACCCACATGAGCGCTAAGCTCTTTCCTCTGCTCCTGCCGGTGCAACACCGATATTTTTATCGTCCTAACACACTGTGTTTCCTCAAACAGATGAGCAGACTTTCTATCTCCAGCATAGACATGTCCAAAGGCACTTACTCTGCTTAGCTGGTTTTGAAAAGCCCTTTAGGTGCTTCTCTGTGTCTTTAGGAGCCAAATAATTTTGAAACTCTGGCCCTAAGTCACTCATGTCCCTTTGAGAGATAAACTCTGGCCCTAAGTCACTCACGTCCCTTTGAGAGACTCCACCACGGACTGTAAAGACTTGCTTGTTTGCCTGCACAGTGAAGGCTAGAAGGAGGGAACAACCAGGAACATGATAGTAGTCTGGGTAAAAAGGATTTTATTCTTAGCCTGAACTAATTAGTAAGGAACCGAATTTCTGGGGATATCACCAGAGCTGTTCTCTTTCTGCAATAATCAATTCTCCCCTTTCCAGCATGATGAGACAAAGTTATCTGAACACAAGGCTGCCTCCAGTAATGGGATTAACCCGTACCCCATCTATGCAGCAATAGAACAGAACACATTTGACAAAGATCATACAAGTCCAGGTAAAAACATGTTTTTTCACAAACCTCTCATCTCTCTCTTCCTAATTTTCAATCACAGTTTTATGACCCATTCTACCAAAATGGTTACTGGTGCTCTCCATTAAAAAAAATTGTCCAAAAAATGACAATTTCCCATGATTATTTCAATAGTGACTTTGAGCAATTCATCAAACCTGTATCTGACAGTTTTATAACCCATTCTACCAAAATGGTTATTGATGCTCTTCCTTAAAATAAAAAGAAAGTTTGTCCAAAAAATGACAATTTCCCATGATTATTTCAATAGTGACTTTGAGCAATTCATCAAACCTGTATCTGACAGTTTTATAACCCATTCTACCAAAATGGTTATTGATGAGGGGGGTCTATTTGGAAAAGGAAAAGAAGTTGGGAAACTTAAGAAAATATCAAACTGTTGTTTCCTTTTTCAATCAGCTCTGCTGTTAAATGTATCGCTTTTAGATTTGGCTCCTTTGACTAGAAAACAAGAGCTAGATGGGAAGGCTGAAAGAATTGGGCTTGTTTAGTTTGGAAAGGAGAAGAGTAAGAGGGGACATGAGAGTGGTTTACAGATATCTAAAAGGGTGTTACAAAGGGGAGGGAGAAACAATTGTTCTCCTTGGCCTCTGAGGATAGAAAAAGAAACAATGGGCTTAAATTGCAGCAAGGGAGGTTGAGGTTGGACATTAGGAAAAAGTTCCTACCTGTCAGGGGGGTGAAACACTGGAATAAGTTGCCTGGGGAGGCTGTGGAATCTCCATCTCTGGAGATATCGAAGAACAGGTTGGACAGGGATGACGTAGACGGTGCTTGGTCCTGCAGTGAGGGCAGGGGGCCAGACTCGATGACCTCTCAACGTCCCTTCCCATTCTAGTGTTCAAGGATTCTACAATTATGGCTCATTTTCCCCTTCTACCTCTGGTCGGAGTTAGAGATAGTGTTGGAGGGTGGGTGCAGAAGGGCTGGGATACACAAGGACAGGCCATACCGGCTTAGAGAAGAAACACTAGTTGTCGGAGGTCACAGTGAAAATGGCATGAAAATGGCCATGGATGAAAAAACAGACTGAAAAATTGGGTGGAGCAAATAAACTGGGGGGAGGGGGGAAGGGGAGGGAGAAGGGGCTGAGAAATTATTACCCTGAGCCAAAAAAGGAACAAAAAATTGGCAACCGAAAGGGCACATTTTCCAAACCACTGGGAAAAGGTTCCGAAATGGCAACCAAAATGATTAGTGATTTGCAGAGAAAAAGGGAGACTAAAAGGGGACAGGCTAGAGGTCTATAGAGTGATGACAGGTGAAGAAGGGAACGTTATTTACTTGTGCCCATGACATAAGAACTAGGGGTCACCCAATGAAATTCAGAGGTAACAGGTTTAACACACAGCCAATCTGCGGAACTCCTTGCCAGAGGACGTTGTGAAGATCAGGACGTTTAACAGGGTTCAAAAACGAGCTAGATACGTTCATGAAGGTTAGGTCCATCAATGGCTATTAGTCAAGATGGGGGATGGGTAGGAATGGTGTGCCTAGGCTCTGTTTGTCAAAGGCTGATGGGGCAGGATCACCTGATGATTTCATTCTGTTCATTCCCTGGGGGCACCTGGCATTGGCCACTGTTACAAGACTGGGCAAGATGGATCTTTGGCCTGACTTTGTGTGGCCATTCTTATGTTCTTACCTTATCTGTGTTTCACAGGGGCCTGGTTTGAATTCACCCCCGATGAGTCTGGCTTTCCCGGCCTGGATGTATTCGTGAGAACTAAAGCTTTGGGAAGCAAATTCCAGGGTGGGAATTTGACAGCACCACAGGAAGAGAAAGACATCAGCTACTTGCAAAGTGAGCAGCGAAGCCCCTAGATTTAGCATAACTAGAGCAGCGGTTCCCAGCCTTTTCGGCATCATGTCCCCCTTTCAGATTTTTGAGAAACCCTCCTGCCCCCCAAATAGCAGCAAAGCTTGTTGAGCCAAAAAAAAAAAAAAAAAGATTGCCCTGCCCTTTTAAGAACAGAACAGGCATTGCCTTTTTAAGGGGCCATTTTGAAATCTGCCGCAGCCAGCCCGAGCTGTACGTGTTTCGGTGGCTGAGCAGACAGGCCGACTGGGCTCTTCCTTGAGTTTGGGAACCTATGATCTAGAGCTCCTGTTTCACAATATGGCACACTGGGCTCTTTCTTGAGGGGGGGAATTGATGAAGGCCTGGGTAACCTCGCACACCCCCAGAATTTCTTCACGCCCCCCCAGTTTGGGAACCCATGATCTAGAGCTCCTTTTTCACAATACGGCAGGGAATGAGCTAGAGTCTCTGACCAGGAATCTGACCATTACACACCAACCCGGGGTGCAGTGAAGGACCAAAATATCTCCTCTCACATGCACCAAGCCTGTATAGAACAGAGAAATCGATGTGAGGGCAGGGACAGGACACGATGACCCCTCAAGGTCGCCTCTGGTTCTTGGCTTCTACGATTCTGTGATTCTAAGATTAATGTGGGAAAATTCCTCGAGCCAAACTCCCACCCTAGAGTCCACTGGGTCTCCAGACCCTTCTGGGAGGAAGGTGAGTAAGGTGCCCCTACCATTCCCTAGGTATGTGTAGGAGTGACTCAGTCATGGTGGGAGAACAGGGGGGAGATGCAAAGGGTAAAATGTTGGAAAATTTTAACCTCCTCTACTTAAAATGAACGATTTCAGGAATGGATCCATGCATGAACCAAGGTGCAAAACACCAACACCCCCATCAGAGACTGGTCTGCCAGTTGGGCCACCATCCTGACAGCTCTTGACACATTATTCAGATAGACTTCTTGTTCTCTTAGCTCCACCGTGACCAATATTTATTTTCCTTTTTTTTCCAGGTCTCTGGGGAAGTGCCTTGGGAAGCATGCAGGAAAACATACACTATTTAATAGGTGCTGAAATTTCTGTGTATTGAAGGTAGGGGTGGGCCATTTGTTGAATTGGAACAGGGCCCCCGTGGAAGCATCTCTCTATGGAAACTGCAGCTGCAGCAGGCACAGCCAAGGGAAGGGTGTATGTTCCCCAACTGGGTCAGACAGACACACAGACAGATAGATAGACGAACTGTCTGTCATACATAGTAGATAGCACTTCGTTTCTCCACCCCTGCCCTCTGTTGGCGCAATGGGGTTACAGCTGCCTCAGCCAAATCTATGGAACCTTACTCCCCCCTGTGGCCATTCTTCAGTATAACTGTCATTGCTCTCAGACCACTCCCCTTCCCTGTTATGGAAAACAATCCCATTCCAGGCACATCCCATTGTCCTGACACAGCCAAACCCCAACCTCGCTTGAAGTTATGGTACGAGGAAGTTGCGTCGCAAACGTGGTGGTTTTAGCTCTTCTTGTTAAAGAGATGTCCTTGAACAAACGGGCTCACAGATGAACGGACACAAAGGCAGATGCATATTTCTAAAAAGTATAAGAAGATTAGCTGTTACCTGCTCCTGCTTCGCTGTTGTTGAATGAAAACATTTTGTAAGGTCAATTTAAACTTTCTGAATTGAAATATTTCCAAAGTTCAGATATTTTGAAAAGCTGACTTTTTGAACATAGTTGAGAAGAAAACAAATGTCAGAATGTCCAAAATTTCCCATGAGGTAGAAATTCTTGTGAGCTATACCAGTGAAAGCCAGATCAAAACCATGTTCTTCATACCGAGATCTCAATCAACCTCAAATCTTAATGGGAAAAAAAGACTCCACTTTATAATTCAGAACCTAGATTACGGTTTATTGTCAATAGTCATAAGAAATGATTCCTAATGCATGTTTTGTTTTCCATTTCTGAGCACACGTTATGGCGCTATTCCAAGGAGTCCAGAAACCTTTGGATTCTCAAGGTGGGTCCCTGTGTTTCTGGTTGGTTTTCTTTGTCCTGACATGACTCCACTGAAGTGAAAGGAGCTATTTTCAATCTGCACCACTGTGTGAGGGTGAGCCCCCCAAGAGTAGATGCAGCATATGCTGGCAGAAGGAGATTTTTGGGGGTCCTTCATTTCTAGTTCCCCAACCACATTAGCTCCATCGATAGAAAGATTCTCTCTTCCAGCTTACAACTGCTGCTACACTGGGTCTCTGGTACCAAAGGGGGTTTCTCACATTACACTAAACCACTTCCAGAGAGAGATACCCTAAACCCACAAAGCAGATATCAGTATCCACAAGAGAAATATGGCTTCCTAGGCCTGAAAGAACCATTGTAAGCATTTAGTCTCACCACATCCCTAGCACAGGCAAGAGAACTTCTCCAAAATAATACATCTTATTGGAAAAAAATCCTCTTGATTAAAAAATTGACATAGTCGGAGAATCCACCATGTCCCTTGGTAAGTGTTTCCACTGGCTAATTACCCTCACTGTTTAAAAAACAATTAATCCTGACTCTACCGTGTGAATTTGTCCAGAGTCTAGCTCTCAGCCACCAGAGTTTGTTATATTGTTCTAGGACTTGCATGGGGAGCAAATCCCAGATCAATCCAGAACTTCTTTCATGCCCCGTCCTCTACGTAGTCGGAAGCGACGATCCCAAGGGCCCTCCTGGCTGTACTTGCATGGGGAGCAAATCCCAGATCAGTCCAGAACTTCTTTCATGCTCCGTCCTCTACGTAGTCGGAAGCGATGATCCCAAGGTCCCTCCTGGCTGCCAAAGTCATGAATTTTTTAGGAAATCTCTTCTTCAGATCCTACCTCACCCATCCTATCTCTCATATCCAGGGACTCCCTTGATAATACTGTAAACAACAATGAATTAAAATGCAAGTTAATTTTTTCTAAACATCATGTTGTCGACTTCTTTCAAATTTTGGCACATAAATGCCTTAAAATCTTGGCCAATTGTCCAATTCCCATTGGCGCCATTAAAAGTCTTCATCTCAACTCATTTCTGTATGATATTCAAAGAAGACCAAGGGAGTTAGGTACCCAAATGCCACCAACCTCTCTGGGTACCTAACTCTCCTCATGTTTGTGGTAAATCTCAGCATAGAGTCCAGATTTTAAAGAAATATAGGCATCCAAAGGATTTCCAAAAGCCAGGATTCAGAGGTGTTATGAGGTCCAGATGAATGAATCAGACCAACAATTTCAAAATGTTTGGGGGGAAAAAATCCTTTCAGGTGAATCAAAACTTTCTCTTTTTAGATTTTTTGCAAGTGGCATTCTATATCAAAGAAATATTAGAGACTATACATCAGTGTTACTTAAACTGTGTTCTGTGGAGGCAGTCGGAGGTGTGCCACAGAGAACAACGGAATTCAAAATGGCCGCACTTAAAGGGGCATGTGACTTTTTTTTTCTTGCTGTTGTTCTTCAATAACTTTCCCCTGATCTTTTCCCCCCCTGTTTCCTTGGTTTTGCTCAAAAAAAAATCCTTGGTGTTATTGTTTTATGTTCCGTGGATTTAGAAGAAACACTGCCATACATGACCATTCCATTCTGGGAAGGTATGGTATGTTGTATAAAAGCATTTCATTTCAATTCTTTCTCCCCCCGCCCCATGCCCTCCAAAAAAAGTCCCCAAAATCAGTATGTTCCAAATTGCGAGCAAAATCGATAACATTTTGAAAGTTTATCAAAATCTTAAGCAGAGAGCTCAAGAACTTGAATGGGGAAGAGCCATGCATTGAATGAATGAATGAATGAATGAATGAATGAATTGCTGCATGCTGAAAACATCCATGTGTTTCCCAGTATTCCCACAAATTCCCGCAGCTGTACCAATACACATAGGCTCAGATTTTCAAAAGGGACTGAGGCAATTAGAACCCTAAAACCTATCTCTTATTAGTGGCCACCAAAATTGCCTTAACCCCCTTTCAACATCCCTGTGCCCCAAAATGGATCCAATGAGCCTTCCATTGCTTATCTCAAAGCTAAGCTCATTTCCCCCTTCGTTTACGTAGGGAAGGAAGTCGAGAATTCTGAAGTGATGAGACTTGGAAACAATTTAGATGAGTTTTTGAAGACCCTTGAAAGCGCATTTTGGAACATGATTCAATCTATCATAAAACCACAACAGAAAGATGCAGGTAAGTCTTATGGAAACTTTGGTCTGTAAGACAGGCTTCCGAATGTCCTGATTCCTGCTTCAGATGTGGGAGCAAAGAACCAGATGTGCCTAAAAAAGAGAAGAATGATCCTTGAACTATACCCCTGTGTCATTCATCATTTCAGCTGTGTCAGCTCTTTCTTCTGCTATTTCTCCCCTGATCTTAAGAGGAAAACGAAAAGGATGTCATCGTCACTATCAGGTTAAAGTTTAGGAAAAAAAGATTCATAGCATCATGGAATCATAAAATACTAGCAGTGGAAGGGACCTCGAGAGGTCATTGAGTCCAGTCCCCTACCCTCCCAGCAAGACCAAGAACCATCTAGACCATCATCCCTGACAGGTGTGTGTCCAAACTGCTCTTAAATATCTCCAGGGATGGAGACTCCACAACCTCCCTGGGCAATTTATTCCAGTGTTTCACCACCCTGACAGGCAGGAAGATTTTCCTAATGTCCAACGTCAACCACTCTTGCTGCAGTTTAAGCCCCTTGCTTCTTGTTCTATCTTCAGAGGCCAAGGAGAACAATGTTTCTACCTCCACCTTGTAACACCCTTTCCGATACTTGAAACCAGCTCTCATGTCCCCTCTCTGTCTTCTTCTTTCCAAACTAAACAAGCCCAGTTCTTTCAGTCTTCCCTCCTAGCTCATGGTTTCTAGACCTTTCATCATTTTTGTTGCTTTTCTCTGCCCCTTCTCCTGTTTCTCCACATCTTTTTTGAAATGTGACACAAGACTAGGAATAAATAGGCAGCTTTCTAAATGGAGGGAGATAAATAAGGTTTTCCTCCAGAGATCTGGACCAGGGTACTTCAACATCATCATAAAGCATCTGAAGAAAAGGAAAAAAGTGAAATGTCAAAGCCTGAAGACGATAAAAAATTACTCATAATAGTTAAGCCAAAACTATTACTGGAAAGGTTTGCAGGGGATTTCACTAACCATCAACCATCAACAAAATAATCAATTAAATTTGATGGTGATAAATGCAAAAGAATACACATAACACAATCCCAACTCCACAGGAAGGCTATGTCTTCACTGCAGAGCTATTTTCAGAAAAGCTCTACCGCTTCCAAGGAACAAGTCCACATTTTTGGAACAGATTAGAAAAAAGTGGACGTATCCTTTTGGCAACCCTGTATCCCGCTCAGTGAGGACGGGCCAAATTCTGGAAAAGCGGGAGAGGCTATGCAAATTGTGGTTCACAGTGGGTGTATCTCCTTCTGACTTCTCTCTGCAGTCGAGTCACAGCCTGAAAGAGACCTTGTGGTGGCTAGTCCTCTCAAAACATCCTCTCAGTGTGCGGTAGCAGACAGGAAAGAAATACGATCTCGTGGTGCCCATGAAGAAATTCTTCCTCTGCTTTGTTTAAAACCTCCTACCTATTCATGTCATTGGGTGACCCCTTGTTGTTATGTGACAGGAACAAGTAAATAACTTTTCCTTATTCACATTTTCCACTACTCGTGATTTTACAGACCTCTATCCTATCCCCGTCTAAACCAAAATGTCCCTGATAGCAGCCCTGTTCCCAGGTACGTGCTGCTCCTCGGTCATGAACCTTAACGAGTATCAATGGTGCGCAGATCACTAAATAGAAGAAAGTAAGGTCAGTCTCAGCTTGGCTCTTTGGAAAGGTTGCTGACCCCGTTGGAGCAACAAAAGCCGATCCCCATACCCACCCCCACCACAACCCAACACAGGGGCAGGAAAGGTGGGAGGTGTCCACCAGTGACTCACCACATTTCCACTCACGTGTGTTCTGCATCACTTGTCAAACCGATTGTTCTTCCCTCACCAGCACTCCTCCCAAAGTACCTGAATTTATGCTTGAAGTTGATGACCTGTTTCAAAAAATGGACATGGGGGAGCACCAACAACTTTCTGTATGAAAACGGTAAGTAACAATTATTAGTCAAGGCCATTCCACACCCCAGAGATTGGGGGCAGAGAAGGGGCAGCTATACTGTATAATGGGCACTAGGGGGCAGCAGAGGGTGGGGGGGAAGGGGCGGCTATACTGTATAATGGGCACTAGGGGGCAGCAGAGGGTGGGGGGGAAGGGGCGGCTATACTGTATAATGGGCACTAGGGGGCAGCAGAGGGTGGGGGGGAAGGGGCGGCTATACTGTATAATGGGCACTAGGGGGCAGCAGAGGGTGGGGGGGAAGGGGCGGCTATACTGTATAATGGGCACTAGGGGGCAGCAGAGGGTGGGGGGGAAGGGGCGGCTATACTGTATAATGGGCACTAGGGGGCAGCAGAGGGTGGGGGGGAAGGGGCGGCTATACTGTATAATGGGCACTAGGGGGCAGCAGAGGGTGGGGGGGAAGGGGCGGCTATACTGTATAATGGGCACTAGGGGGCAGCAGAGGGTGGGGGGGAAGGGGCGGCTATACTGTATAATGGGCACTAGGGGGCAGCAGAGGGTGGGGGGGAAGGGGCGGCTATACTGTATAATGGGCACTAGGGGGCAGCAGAGGGTGGGGGGGAAGGGGCGGCTATACTGTATAATGGGCACTAGGGGGCAGCAGAGGGTGGGGTGGGGAAGGGGCAGCTATAATGTATAATGGGCACTAGAGGGCAGCAGAGGGTGGGGTGGAAAAGGGGCGGCTATAATGTATAATGGGCACTAGGGGGCAGCAGAGGGTGGGGTGGGGAAGGGGCGGCCATAG